ATATATATATATATATATATATATATATATATATATATATATTTATATATATTTCATGTAGATCCACAATGAAAACGTGGATAAGATAAATCTTCATAAAATCACACGGGAAAAGGGAAACAACGGAGCACCTTAGCTTTCGTCTTTATTCTAGACATCTTCAGAGGCAACTGGATTACATGGACAGAGAGAGGCTTAAATATACAGGGTGACCTTAAAACATAAGAACATAAGAACATAAGGAGTCTGCAATAGGCCGGTTGGCCTGTGCATGGCAGCTCCTGTCGAGGGTTACTACCACTCTCTATCATCCACGAATCTATCTAGCCTCCTTTTGAAACTTTCCAGAGTTCTCGCACTTACTACAAAGTTGCTAAGCTTGTTCCACTCGTCCACCACCCTATTTGTGATCCAGTTTCTTCCTATCTCCCTCCTAAACCTAAACTTATCCAACTTGAATCCGTTGCCCCGAGTCCTATCCTGCTCGGATATTATAAGAACTTTATCTATATCCCCTTTATTGATTCCTTTCACCCACTTAAATACTTCTATCATATCTCCCCGCACTCTTCATCTTTCTAGGGAATGCAAGTTAAGTTTCTTTAACCTATCCTGATATGGAAGGTTTCTAAGTCCCGGAATCATTTTTGTCATTCTTCGCTGCACCGACTCTAGTGAATTTATATCCATTCTATAATAGGGGCACCAGAACTGAACCGCATAATCGAGGTGCGGCCTGACTAGCGCAAGATATAGTTGCAATAAGACCTCTGCACTCTTGTTACTTATACTTCTAGATATAAAACCCAAGACTCTGTTTGCCTTATTTCGAACATTAACGCACCAAAGTTATTTCAGTGCATCATAGACAAAATTCTTGTGGGTCTTCCCAATGTTATGTTTTCAGGATGATGTCCTTATTGTTAACAGTGGCATCCAAAATCATGTCAAAACCCTAGCCACAGTATTCGAAAGATTGTTGGCACACAATGTCAGGCTCAACAAGAGCAAATGTTCATTCCTAGCTAAAGAAGTAACTTATCTTGGCTGCCATGTGAATGCAGAAGGGCTGAGACCTGTAGAAGATCAAGTAAGAGCCATAGTAAATTTACCGGCTCCAAAAGATGTCAGTGAATTGAAAACTTTCATGGGTATGAAAGAGTATTATTCAAGGTTCTTGAGTGGACTTTCATCAGTTTTAGCCCCTCTGCATAAACTGTTAAAGAAAGAACATAAGAACATAAGAATGGAGGAAACTGCAGTGGGCCTATTGGCCCATACTGGGCAGTCCCGTTTACACCCAACCCCTATTGCTCATATGAGCATCCAACCTATGTTTGAGGCAATTCAGCTTATTCGAGTTAATGATGATATTTGGTAACTTGTTCCATTCATCCACTACTCTGTTTCCAAACCAGTGTTTACCTATTTCACGCCTAAATCTAAATTTGTCTAATTTAAAATCATTGTTACGAGTTCGCTCCTGGTTGGATAGTTTGAGTACCTTTGTAATGTCCCCTTTGTTTAGCCCTGCCTTCCACTTATACACCTCTATCAGGTCGCCCCTCGCTCTACGTCTCTCAAGGGAGTGCAAATTAAGATGCTTTAACCTGTCTCTATACTCAAGGTTCCTAATGCCCGGGATTAGTCTTGTCATTCTCCTCTGAATTCTTTCCAAGGATTCTATATCCATTCTGTAATACGGTGACCAGAACTGAACTGTGTAATCCAGGTGTGGTCTCACAAGAGCAAGATACAGTTTTAGGATGACCTCGCTAGTCTTGTAACTAACACTCCTTTGTATGAACCCAAGCACTTTATTAGCCTTGTTACGAGCAAAAACACATTGTTTACTTGGCTTAAGGTTCCTACTTATCATTACTCCTAAATCTCTCTCGCAGTCGGATTTCTCTATGGCATCGTTGTTCATCTGGTATCTGGTTTCCCTGTTTACATCTCCTATACTGAGTACTTTACATTTGTCTACGTTGAATTTCATCTGCCATTTTTCAGACCATTCGAAAAATTTGTTTAGATCTTCCTGTAGTTTTGCCGAGTCGTCGTCAGATTTGATAACACGTCCTATTTTAGTGTCATCAGCAAATTTACTTATGTTGCTGTCAATGCCGATATCTATGTCGTTTATGTATATAATAAATAATAATGGTCCAAGCACTGAGCCTTGGGGAACTCCACTTGTGACGTTGCTCCAATGGGACTTAGTGCCGATCATGCTCACTCTCTGTTTCCTGTCCTGTAACCACGCCCTAATCCATTTAAGAATGTCACCTTTGATGCCATGAGCTTCTACCTTTCTAATTAGTCTTTCGTGGGGGACTCTGTCGAAGGCCTTACTAAAGTCGAGATATACCACATCATAATTGTGCCCCTCGTCCACCGATTCGAAAACTGATGAAAAGAATGTTAATAGATTAGTTTGGCAAGAATGTCCTCTTGTGAAGCCATGCTGGGAATCATTGATCAATCTGTGCTTCTCCAAGTGATTTCGAATAGAGTTTGAAATGATTGCTTCCAGTAATTTGCCTACTATTGATGTTAGACTGATTGGGCGGTAGTTAGAGGTTAGTGATCTATCCCCCTTCTTGAAAATCGGTATTACATTCGCTATCCTCCAAGATTCTCGTACTACACCTGTTTTTAATGACATGTTAAACAACTTTGCTAAGGGCATACTAAGCTCTTCCTTACATTCCTTTAATACTCTGGCAAATATCTCATCGGGACCAGGTGACTTATTAGGCTTTAGTTTGTCTATTTGCTTACTAACATCGTTACTAGTCACTACTATCTCACTTAATTTGTTTTCTTCACTATCTCTGAATAGAGTCGGTGCCTCGGGTATCATGTTTAAATTTTCGGTGGTGAAAACTGTTGAAAAATATTTATTCAAATTATTGCTCATTTCTCCGTCGTTATCAGTGAGCTCGCCGAAGTCTGACCGTATTGGTCCAATCTTTTCTCGTGTTTCAGTTTGATATATTTGGTAGAATCCTTTGGGGTTTGTCTTCGCCTCCCTTGCTATCCTTACCTCATTATTCCTCTTTGCTTTCCTTATCTCGGTTTTAACCCTACTCGCCAATACCCTATAATAGTCCCAGAGGTGAATTTCGCCACGATTTATCCTTCTACCTATAGCCTTCCTTTGGCCAATGATGTTCTTTAAATAATTATTTATCCATTTAGGGTCATTGTTGTCTGATCTGAGTTTTTTGTATGGTATGTTCTGCCTTTGTGCATTAAGTAACTCACTATTTAAATTGTCATGGAACTCGGCAATCTCAGATCTCGTTATCAGGTCGGTGTCATCTGTCAGGTTCACAGCCAAGCGCGACACCCCCTCTCTCAGCTGCCTCTTTAAACTGTCAAAGTTTGCCCTTCTGAAATCTGGTACTTTAGTGGACTCCATGGAAATGGAACAGTGCAACTCAGAAGTAATTTGAAGATTGTAAAGCTGCTCTGTCTAGTACTGATGTTTTGGTTCACTTTGATACCAGTAGAACACTTCAGCTTGCTTGTGATACATCAGGCTATGGATTAGGTGCTGTCATAAGTCACGTAATGGATAACGGTGAAGAAAGACTCATTGCATATGCCTCGAGAACTCTTACCCAAAGCGAGAAAAATTATGCACAAATAGAGAAAGAGGTTTTGTCAATCATATTTGGAGTAAAGAAATTTCACCAGTATTTATATGGTAGGAATTTTGTCTTAGTAACTGATCACAAGCCTCTCTTGGCAATTTTGGGTCCTAAATCACCTGTTCGTACACTTGCTGCAGCAAAAATGCAGAGATGGGCTTTAATATATATCTGCATATGACTATGATATACAGTACAGACTTTCAGAGGATCATTCCAATGCAGATGCTTTGTCCAGGTTGCCATGTAGTGGATCAATTGATGGAGTAGAGCCTAAGGTTTATGCTGTAACCATGTTAGCAGAAGATTTTCCAGTCACCTCTAGAATGAGTGCTCATGAAACTAGGAAAGATGTTGTGTTAGGAAGAGTCCTAGATTATGCACTAAATGGATGGCCAGAGGTTTGTCCATCCCTAGACTTTCAACAGTATCATTTAAGGAGATGTCAATTATCAGTAGAACAGGGATGTGTGTTGTGGGGCATGAGAGTGCTAATTCCACAGCGTTTTAGAGGGCAAATTTTGAATGAAATGCATTTGGAACATCCAGGTATATGTGCTATGAAAGCATTGGCCAGAAGTTTTGTATGGTGGCCTCAACTGGATGGTGAAATAGAAATTATGGTACGTGAGTGCTCTGTTTGTCAGAATGTTAGGAGTATGCCACCCAGCACACCTTTGAAAACCTGGAAATGACCTACCCGTCCCTTCCAAAGACTAAACATTGACTTCTGTGATAAGGGAACAGACAAATTTCTTGTGTTAATTGACAGTCATTCAAAGTGGATTGATGTTAAGCACATTTACAGTACTAATGCTGGTAGCACCATTGATGAATTAAGATTAATATTTGCTGAACATGGAATACCAAAAGAGGTAGTATCTGACAATGGTCCTCCATTCCAATCGTTACAGTTCAAAAACTTCATGAGACTCAACGGTGTAAAGCATGTACTGACCCCACCCTATCATCCTGCCTCTAATGGTGCAGTTAAGAGATCAGTTAGAATTGTAAAGGAAGCACTTTCCAAGCAGGTAATTCAAGGAACTGTAGGAAAATCAATGAAACACAGACTAGCAAATTTCTTACTCAGATACAGCCGTCATCTTGAATGTAGGCATACCTTACAACAGTGGTTCTCAAACTCGGGGTAATTACCCCAACTGGGGCAAAAATACATTTTGGCTTGGGTAATATCCTTCTGTTGGCACTGTGGGGTAACCTCGTATTTAACACTTATAACACTTACGTTTGCCGCGTTCGGCACACCCTGACAACGCTGCCTTTCGTGACGACAAGTTCATCGCACACCTAGCTTATCTGTCGGACATCGTTCGAGAGATGAATGTGCTGAATTGCTCTCTTCAAGGAAAAAAATGCTTCCATCATCGATGTCCAAGATTAGATGAATGCCTTCTGTCAACAAATGGAACTGTGGCAAGGCAAGTCAACGTCAACAACATCGCTATGTTTACCAGGCAAAACCAATTTTTTCAAAGTAGCGAGGTTCAGTGCCCGGCGACCGAAATTGGCGAGCATCCGCTCACACTCAAGACGTCAATGACGAAATATTTTCCTGAAGGCAAGGCTCTGGAGATGAACACCGCATGGATGAAGCAACCATTTCTTGTCGCCGAAGATGTCATTTTTGACAACGAATTCCTGAAGTTGAGAAATTATTCCGTGACCCATAACACATTCGACACTGTTGAGGATATTGCATCTTTCTGGATTAAGCAAGGAGCAGTAGGATACCCAACTCTAATGACTCGGGCTATCGACGTACTTCTTCCATTTCCCACGACCTATATGTTTGAACTTGGGTTCTCGGCAATGTACCACATCAAGTCCAAGACTAGAAACCGGCTCGTTCCAAGCTCAGATATGAGGCGGCCTTTGTCAAAGACTAAACCACGCATCCAAAATCTGGTGTCGCAAAACATGTTCATCCATCTCACTAAGACTAAGTCTATAACAGCACTATAACCGTAGCACTATTATTGATTTTTGTATAAGACAGACTAGAATTGTACACTTGTGTTTTGTATAATACACTTTATTGGAGGAATAAATTTGTAAGTACATTTGTAAGCTTGTGTTTTGTATATTAAACATTATTGAGTAGAATTAAGGAGTAAAATATGTAAGTACATTAATTTTGTAAACTTGTGCTTTGTATAATAAACCTTATTGAATAAAAAGAAGGGAGTACAATTTTCCGGTGGGGTAATTCGAACCTGTAAAACTGGAAAAAAGTTTGAGAACCACTGCCTTACAACTTTTGAACCGTTTGAGCTACAAACTTATGTGTCTATGTTTGTCTTTGGTACCCCCAAAATGTTCTACACTACTGAGGGTATACACAAACACTTGTTATCTTAAAAATAGGTTCTTATTCTCGTACGGGAGATATACAGAGGAACTAATAAGACAGAGCACTTCCACACCTTAAGGACTGGTGGTCTCCACTCTATGTATCACTGCGCGCTGGCATGTGCAGATGCCAGCATTCACAAGCTGAATACATAAAATGTAAATATGATAATTCATATACATAACATGGTGCATAATAAATGGAAATATTACATAGGATTAATACATGTTCTGTAATACTTTACTATACATAATTAATAGAGTAATATATGAATACACAGCTTAAGGTACTACTTCGTGTCCATATTATACACCTCCCTCCCCTCTATATGCTCATGGTTTCATCTTGAGCGGACCTTTTGTTTCTGAGTCGCTCGGACCTGCGGAGTACTGGGGCAGAAACACAAGGTGGGGATGGATTTACTGTAAAGGCATCAACATTAGGGGACTCAACTGGGGAAGGGTCAACACTAGGCAGCTCCACAGGTCGGAGGAAACGACGGTTCCTCCACCATACTCTACCACTAGGAAGACGCACTTGGTAGTCCCTGGACCGGCCAATACCCATGACAACCCCAACCTTGTCCCAGCGGTGAGATACCTGATCTTGAATCCTGACCTGCTGGCCGATACTCAACCTGGGAAGGGGGCGGGCATGACAGTCGTACCGAGCAGCGACATCTGCGGCTCGTTCTGCTGCATGGCGGTCACATTCTTCAGTCTTGGCCTGCCATTCTTGAGAAAAAGACTTCGGGTGGGCAGGAACACAAGACCTGAGATGATGTCTGTAGTGGATGCAATCCTAGACAAGGTTCTTGAAACTCCAGAGCACGAGCAGTAGGTATATTCAATAAGTGTACAAGACTTGGCGTGATAGCCGACCGATACAGGAGCGAGCACAAGGGACCCCGGACCGTAGGTAGGCCGGAGCCGATCTGAGGGAAATTAGCTAGCTAGGCAAGGAGAGTTGCTAGACATTACTAGGACAATAAATGAGGTCTTCTAATTACCCGACTAGCGCGGTACAGACATAGTACATCGGGACATAGTAAATGGACATAGGCATTAGACATAAGCATAGATATCAGACATGCTATAATAATATGTAGTAATACAGACATGTGAATAAATGGTACAATGAATGGTAACAGAGTCTTGGCGTCAGGCGTGTTCACATATCTTGGTATGTACATATCTATACAATGTCCGTATAGAACCTGGGCTGGGGAGCGTCCGGTGAAGTTCGGGGTGTTGCGTAACTCCAACAAACCTCGATCGAAGTCCTCGCAGTCGATATTTCCTGAGGGTGACACCTTAAGGGTTAGGTGTTTAACAGTCTTGACTGCGGCTTCAGCGTGTCCATTCGCCTGGGGGTAGTGGGGCTAGGTCACGACATGACGGACTCCCCAACGGTCCATGAAGTCCCGGAACTTGTGGCTGGTGAACTGGGGTCCTCCATCAGTCCTGAGGCGGAGGGGAACACCAACTTCTCTGAAGTAATGTCTGAAATTCCGGATGGTAGCAGTAGCCGTTGTATCACTACCACAGGGGACGACAACAGGCCATCCAGACCATCGGTCGGCAATGACGAGGAAGGACTTCCCTGCCACTGCAAAAAAGTCGGCCGACACAGACTCGAAGGGTCTTGAAGGGTTGTCGTCGCACATTAAAGGTTCCTGTTGCTGGCTGGTTTGCAGAATCTGGCACGGCTCACAGGCATGGACGGTACTTGCAATGTCCGCGTCGATTCCGGGCCAAAATACAGTCTGCTTCGCCCGTCGCTTGGTGGCCTCCACTCCTCGATGGCTGTCGTGAAGGCGGGTCAAGGTACGGCGGCGTAGGGCAGCAGGAATGACTACTCGTGGACCATACAAGACGAGGTCTCCGTCACAATAGAGGTCCTCGCGTATCTTCCAGTACGGGAGTAGCGATTCATGAAGGTCGTATCGGTTAGATGGAAATCCCTGGGACACACAGTCGACGAGCCGAATGTAGGAAGGGTCGGCCCGGGCTGCGATGCGGAGATCTTCAAGGGTCTTGTCTGCATCCGGTGCTGTAGACTCTTCTGATGTGAAGACGGCCTTCAATGAGACTACTGACTTGAGGGATGCAGCAGCTGTAGAACACAACATCTCGTCCTCTGGGGTGGGGCGACTGACAGGGGCGCGGGACAGGGCATCCGGGATGCACAACAGCTTACCCGCACGCCACACAGCCGTGAAGAGATAAGGCGAGAGCTTCTCTTTCAAACGTTGAAGGCGAGGATTCTCTACTGCATCCAAAGAGTAGTGATTGATAATTAGGTACAAGAGGGCGATGAACCGTGAAGAGGGTGAAGTGCTGAAGTCCTATCAGGTAGAAGCGGCACTTCGCCATCGCCCAGACAACAGCCAACATCTCCTGCTCAATCGTGGCATATCGGGTCTCGGCGTCCGTCAGGAACCGGGATCCACACTGAATTAAGCGGAGTTGTCCACCGCTGTGGTCCTGCAGAAGGGCGTAACCAACGCCATAGAGTCTGGAGGTGTCAGTCTGGAGGACGGTGGGTAGGGCTGGGTCGTAACAGGCGAGGACAGGTGGACTTAAGAGGGCCTGCTTGACTCGCTGGAAGGCCTCTTGATGATCTGGGGTCCACAGGAATGTCCTCCTGGGGCTCAGCAGGGGGCGTAACGGCTGGGCTGCGGCGGAGATGTCAGGTGAAAATTCAGCCAGCTGATTGACCAGACCCAAAAAAGAACGGAGGTCTGTCAGGTTGACAGGGGTTGGAAAATCCCTGATTCCACTTAATTTCTCCGGGTCAGCTGCGATACCTGATGCTGAGAGAGTGTACCCACAGAAGTTCACTGATGGTGCGGCGACTACAAACTTGTCAGCGTTGAGGGTAATCCCATACTTTCGACATCTGGTGAGAACTTCATATATTCGGGAGAGGTGGGCACAGTAGTCTTCGTCATGGAGTAAAATATCATCAACCACTTTGACACAATTCCTGACTCCTTGAAGGGCCGCGTCACCACGTTGATAGAATGCATCGCCCGTAGCGGCAAATCCCATGGGGCCTCTGCAATACTGATATCTTCCATATGGTGTGATGAATGTAGTCAAATGTTGGTCTTCTTCGGCCAACTCGATCTGCCAATAACCACATAAGGCGTACATCGTTGTAAAAAACTTCGCCTTCGGGTCCACATTTCGAACAGCTGCGAAGGGTGTGGGTGAAGGGAGGGGCTGGACGGGAAACTTGCTGGTTAAGTTTTGACAGATCGGTGGTGATTCGTACTCCACCACGAGGTTTGGCGACGGGGACGAGAGGGTGGCACCAAGGTGAAGGTTCGTCTCCGGCCGGCTTGATGATTCCCTGAGCAACCATGGAGTCAAGCTCTTGTCTAACTAGCTCCTTGTAGGCATGAGGAATCAAACGAGGGGTGTGGATGGCAAAAGGTGTGGCACCATCCTTAAGATGAATCTTCATAGGTGGACCCACCATCGGCTTGAGTGGTGTGGATCCCAAAGATTTCTTCGTAACCAACACGTCAGCAAACTCCTTGAGAACGTAAGCTCTTGCATCAGAAGGGGACGTGTTAGTAGAGATAGGGAGTTCCTTCAACCTGTTGACATGGGTGACCTTTAAAATAGGTTTGGGGAATTCCTTGGAAATAATGGCCAACTCCTGACAATGGCCATATGATAAAAGCGGAGTCGGGATCCCATCATGAACATCAATCCGGGCTGAGCAAGACTGCTTACCAAAGGTAAGAGTAGCCCATCAGCTATCAGTTTCGTTGTCTGAGGAGGGGGCTGTAGGTTGCTCCGGGGTATTCCTAAACTTGCTAAGTACTGTGGACCAATTACTGAGACGTCAGCACCGGTGTCAGGTAACATCTGAAGACTGGATGACAAGTTACCGTGAGAGATGACGACACTGATGTGCTGGGGCGTCGTGTCTGTGGAACAATGTACATGACGGCAGGAACGACTGGACACAGTGTCTTGATGCTTGCCAGAAGGAAGGGGCGCGCCAGCACTACCTGAGGATGACTTCTTGGATCCTTGGTGGTGTCCTTTCTGTGTCTTCTTACGACAACATTTGTCATAATGGCCCACACGACCACAAAGTCTGCACTGAACTTTGCTAGCAGGGCACTTGACTGTGTAAGCCCAGTGACCCTGGCGGTCGCAACTTCTGCACACGCTTTGAGCAGCTGGGCACTGGGAGGCATCATGCTGTCTCGCACAGCTGTTACACAAAGCTGCTGCTGAAGGTGTAGCTGGAGGGTGAGGGGTGGGGTTACCTTGCTGCTTCTTACCCTTTCTGTAGGAAGACACCGCCCTCACCTGGTCAGGTTGTGAACGTAAAGCTGAAGTCGCACACCTGGCGGCCTCGTACGCTCGACATTTTGTAATAACATCTTGAAGGGAGGAAGTGGGGTCAAGTGAAATGAGACGCTGAACTAGCTCTTCATCTCGAATACCCGTTAAAATAATTGTCTTGAGTTGTGTCTCTTCACAGACTTGAGAGTTTCCAGGACAAACATCAACTTCCTCTGAACATCTTTTCAGTCTTACAAAAAATGCATCAAAAGATTCTCCATCAAGCTGCTTACATTGGAGGAGTTCTCTTCTTCTAAGCGCTTCGTTGCGTTGTCGTAGGAGGCACTTGAAGTGTGTGCTCGAGAGTACGTTGTGTCTCTAAGGACAAGCACATACGAAGCTGTATCATCTGTTTAGGCTGTGGTAAACTTGACAAGTCAACCATTGTTGCATAGTTTTGCCAACGTCGACGCCGTTCCCGAAATATCTGATAGGAAGCGTCAGACTTCAGAGAGGGAGGCGTTTGTGCTGCAGCCTTTTGAGGAATTGTTGAATCGACTCTGGGAAATGAGGTACTAGTACCTCTAGTCGTATCAGCATTAGTAGTAGCAGAGGAATCTTGTACGGTAGATCGTTGTGGGGAGGCTAACAGAGAAATCAAGACTTCAAATCTGGCTTGATCCTCTCTTCTTCTCAGGTCATCCTCACTTCTACGTATATCTTCTAGTTCTCAGCGTCTTTGTTCATCTTCGTGGCGTCGTCTTTCAGACTTTCTGTACCGAATTTCTTCCTCTTCTCTCCTTGCAACATAGTCCTGGCGTCGAGAAGTTTCCATCCACTTAATCAGTTGAAGGAGATCTGTGGACGCAGGCACCGCAGGAGAGCTTGCTCGCGACGAACAAAGAGATTCTGTGGGTGATTGTGCGTTGTCACTGTGGGGAGCGTGGGGCCTGAGTGTGGGTGGGGAGAGGTCTCCCAGACTTAAACTCGTAATTCCATCGTCCAGGGTATCATTTTGATCCCTGTGAGACATGCCGACAGCTTCTGTACTCTATCTGTGCAAAGACCGGGTCAACCCCTCGTAATCTATGCACAGAATTACAGAAGTCTGAAGTAATTCTCAAGAATTTAATATAAGGTGGGTCTGTGAGTGCATGTGTGTGTGTATGGCCTAAAAACAGTGACCCATTGGAATTTTTAGACAAGCTTAATAATATTGTCCCTAGTATCACATTCAAAATTGAAAGAGAAATAAATGAATCCCTTCCATTTCTTGATATGCTTATCATGAGAAATGGCCAAAACTATAAATTTAAGGTATATAGAAAGCCCACACAGGTAGACAGTTTCATTCACTTTTTATCGAATCACCTTGAGTCTACCAAAATGTCAGTTTTTTCTGCTATGTTCCTAAGATGTCTGCGTATTTGTGACTCTGAATTTATTGACGATGAATTTAAACACATTCGTTCTATTGCACAGAAACTTGGGTACCCTTCTGTGTTTGTTGATCGTTGCTTTAAAAGGGCTAAAAAATCCTTTCATTCCTCTCAAACCAGACAAGTTCCTACACTTAAGAATATTTTGACTCTGCCCTATCGTGATGAATTTGTCCCGTTAGTTCGGTCCCTCAAGCTTCTAAATATTAATGTTGTTTTCAAGTATGACTCAACCATTACCAATATGTTAATAAGGAATAGCCCAAGTTTGAATGTAAATGGAAGTGTTTATTGTATTCCATGTAGCAAATGTAATTGTAATTATGTAGGTCAGACAGGAAAAACACTGCAGCTCAGAATCAAACAACATAAGTATAATATCAGAACTGCATCTGAAAGCAGTGCCTTGTTCGTTCATGTTAGGAATAATAATCACCCCATTGCTTGGGAAAAAAGCTTAGAAGTATTCAAATCATCTTGTGTCACAGAAAGACTTCTGGTTGAAGCTAGTTTGATTAAGGAATTAAAATCAATAAACCTTAGTGATGGTCAGTTCAAAACTGATAATATGTTACATAAATTTATTTGTCAGTGGCCCAAGGTTAAAAATGCTTTGAAAACCTTTGATCTTGATGTATGATAGTTATTTTGTGGGTCCCTTTTTTCTGACCTGACCTGTCTAGTCACGTCATCACCCTTCTCTTAAGCTCCTCTACGTGTATGTTGGTGTGGGGATTAGTGGATGTCATCATTATGACCTGACCTCATGTTTTTAGGTCACCCTGTATATTTAAGCCTCTCTCTGTCCATGTAATCCAGTTGCCTCTGAAGATGTCTTGAATAAAGACGAAAGCTAAGGTACTCCGTTGTTTCCATTTTCCCGTGTGATTTTATCAAGATTTATCTTATCCACGTTTTCATTGTGGATTTACATGAAATATATATATATATATATATATATATATATATATATATATATATATATATATATATATATATATATATCTTATCCACGTTTTCATTGTGGATTTACATGAAATATATATATATATATATATATATATATATGGAAGGTGGGGTAAGACGGACCCCTTAAGAAATAAACGGGTCTAGAAGCCACATTTTGATATTTTTTTCATGTTTTAGGGGTTGTGGTGGTACTTTGGGGTCTTATGATTCCAATACACAACCTAGGCACGGTTATTTGAGGGAAAAATTGAAACTATGGTTAAAATAAAAAAGTAACTTTTATTGTACCCGAAAAAAAATGACGGGGTAAGACGGGTCCGTCTTACCCCGTCATTTTTTCGGGTACTTCCTAAGGGTTCATCATAACCCTCGACCAAAAAATAATGAAAACAGATCCTTCCTGGATCAAATTACAAAGAAAACCCTTCTTTCAGCATCCTTTACCCACATACATTTGCTTCTGTGCCCATTTTACACCTGCAGGGATACTTTATAAATATTATGCCAAATTGCCTGATCATTCCTTGCATAGATCACAAACAAAACACTCAATATCATCCTCATCATCCAGTATCACTGCACATTGCTCGTGTGCCCATTTTTTACAATTGGCACAACAAACCCACCCTTCACCTCTTGCAGAATTTCCAAAGGTGTCACTGCAATACAGGCAGACAGTTCCATCTCCCTCTTCACTCTCGCTGTTGCTTTCATGAAGCCAGGATGGTCCAGCTTTTGCTTGTTGTGTTTTTGGGTTTATCTTCCTTTTTTCACGTCGTAGTTGCTTTGATATGATTTTTGGCTTCTCTTTCTTTTTGCTTCTTTGCTAGACTGACCTCTTTTTCTTTTTTCTTCTGAATTTCTGTCTCGAGCTCATTCTTGTATGGGGATCCTGTCATGTTGAGGGGTCTCCTTTGAGCCCTAGGTCTTTTCTTTCGTGTCGTTATGGTCACCTTTGGCAAGGGAACAATTTCCTTGGGTGAACTACCTGGCCTGAACAGACTTGGTTTTCAGGAACAGGAACAGCACATGAGTTTTCCGATATGTCAGCTACTTCCAATTCAGGTTCATTCTCAGTGACCATGATAGGAGGGGCGACATGGTCGTTCAGATCTTCCTCTTCCTGATCAGCATTTAATGGAAAGTCTGTTGGGTGGGCAGGTAAAAATGCAGCTTCTCCGAAAACATGCTTATTCAATGGGCAGATACCGGTTTTCTTAAACCCATTAATGGCTGTGTTTGGAACAGCAGCATGTAGATAGGCCTCACCAAACAAAGCACTTATTTTGTAGATTGTCACAAGCCTGCCAGGATTGTTTCTGAGGAATGTTTCAATAGCCCTCACATAGTAGGCATTCAGTGGTTTCATAAATGAAACATCCAGTGGCTGCATTCGGTGACTGCAATGTGGTGGTAAAACAACAATCGTGACATAATTATCCCTGGCAAGATTGATAACATCAAGATTCTTAATATGGGTCATATGTCCATCCATAATCAACAATACTGGATCATTCACTGATGGCTTGGTGTGGGCAATAAAGTGCTGAAACCATTCTGTAAAAATGGGGAGCTGCATCCACCCAGATGGATGACAGGCAAATCCGGTTCCTGGTGGAGCACCATCCTTTAGTTCTTGCTTCATACGAACCCGTGGAAAGATGAGGAAAGGTGGAACAAACTGCCCTCCAGCTGACATACAGCAAACTGCTGTAGCTAGAACTCCTCTTTCAGCAGAAGTCAGACTGCCAATCTGTTTTTTCCCACGCTGACCAAGGATTTTTGTAGGTTTTGTCTGCACCGTTGTAATACCTGTCTCATCCACATTGAAAATCCTGTGTGGAGGAAAGAAGTGGCCTTCCTGAACTAAGGATAAGATGTCGAAGAACTTGTCCACATTTGTCTGATTGAAGCATCTTGCTCGAGCAGCAGAAGTTGGTTCTGGGGTCCGAATTGAAAGTTGTGGGTGGCGCCGTAGGAAGCCCAATAACCAGTCTTTACCTGCAAGTCCAACCTGGAAAAAGACAGAAACAACAGATAAAATGTAACTGGAATAAAATCAAACTTCAATGTGTATCAAATCAGGATGTAAACTAAGTATGAAAGTAAGAAACCTGTTCTGTAGAAAGATCTCACCGTTTTGTTAAATTTGTGGTCCAAGTTATTCCTCTCCGCTGCTTGGAATGCAATGTAGCGAACATCCCTTGTAGTAAGTCCAAAAAATCGATCTTCCATCGATAAAATGTGAG